CTTACCTGTTTCTGCCGCCAAGCAGTAATGTCAGCATTACTGTGTTCCGGTTTTGAAGTGTAAGGGTGCTGGTGAAATTACAAGTACATGGGACCTGTCAACTTATGTCTCAGGGAGACGGGTGCAGTGGTAGTGCCCCTCAAATCTTTGCAATTTAAAGCTCTGAGTGGCACTGTAACTGTTATGGACAGGCGTGTAGCTTACCATCAGCCGCACGACTTGTTCGTCCCGTCACTTGATGTTATAAAAAAATAATTAGATTTCGTAAATATTTTGTTATAAGAGCAGATAAAAATAAAAATGTTATTCTTGAGAAAAGCTCTTGGCATCTTTCAATTACTTTTCGTTCAAGGAAATAACATTGACGAGGGTTCAATTTGAGAATACGGTGTCCCATGGCGACACAAGATGAGTGGTATTTTATTCACAAAGTTAGGTAAATGTAACAGCTGGAAATTTCTGACACACAGATCAAGACCCAGTTGTGCTACGTAGTACACTCGAAACGAATTGATTTAACGCGACACGTTTCTGTTACCGTTATACATAACTAGGTAACTATAAGAATTTTAATTTTTTTGTCGTATTTTACAAACGGTGACGAGAAAGGTAAATAATGTGTCAGTTTTGTTTTTAAATAATGTTTCAATGTGACAATTTCGGTAGGGAACAGAAACAAGAGAAAAACGTAATAATAACCTGTAAGTAAATACCTATGTACAATTAAGAGTATATTTCACTATAATAATAACAAAAAAATAACCATTTCCATTCACAAAATGATAAAAATAACCTACCGTATGAACATTTTTATATGAAGTGACTTTCCTTGGAGTCAGCACAGTTTTACGTATTTTATCGCCCACTTTACACCTCAATTTCAAACAAACAACGGCAAAAGCACCAAAACCCCACTGCGACAACGAATAAACTAAATTATTTTTCTCCTTGAACCATAAGCGTCATACCATAATGACAGTAATCGCAGAACCATCGTCATAGTAAACATTCATAATTACTATTTCCTGTACTCCATTTATCATTCCCATGCACTATGAACCTCATAGCAATTATCCTGTCTTGACGGTGAGGGGAAGGTGAAACTTCCTACTTTCGTTTTGTCGGTACTATTCATTTTGAGGTGAAATGATTATGATCAGGGATACAGAACCCCACAGTTCTCAGTAATATTATGTCTATGTCGTCTATTTTTTTTTTTCAATTAACGAATACAACATGGGACAAGATTGTATTCTGTATTCAAAGCCCTGTTAGGGTTTTGAAAAACAAGAAAAAAAGGTTATTATCAATTTAGCTCCATGAAAATAAAACATAGATTATTATTGAAGACAATTAATTACGCTAACAGTACTTAATATAAAAAGGCTATAAAAATTCCATTTTCAACGTTAAAAAGCGTAATTACTAACTTGAAATTGCTTTTACATAATGACTTTAATGACATATTTAATTGATTACTTTTTAAAAATGTCATCACATTAATTACGCAATGTAGGAACTTTTGTTACCGATATTGTAATGAATATGAGTTCCCATTGTTATCAACAAAAAAAATATATTACTAGTTTAAATACTACCTATAGTAATTTTATTCCTAATGAAAATGTAGTAATAAATTCTCTTGTTTGTTTATCGGAGTATTTTTTACATACATTAAACATTTGCGAAAGACTTGAAACATTACATTGTGTAAATGCTCGAATAAATTTTATTCAAAGAATGTGATACTGGTCTCTTGTTCGGATATTGAATCCAATCACCCGATATGCGGGTATATTGAATCATGCCAACGTAATAAAAATCCTTTTATATCCCTTAGCTTTTGCTATTTCTCATGACGACGCGATTTTGTGGATTATATAGATAAAAAAAACATAATAATACGACCTCTGTAATGTTTATACTAATATTTAACAACCTTCGTAAATTACATTTTAAAAATGAATTTTTAAAGCCTTGTTTCAAAAAGAAATTGCTCCTAGATTAAGATATATTTGTTTAGGGTTTTTATTGATAACAAGAATTTGAGATGGATAGATAGTACATAATTAAAATAAATATAAAATAAAATATTAAAACAAAAAATAAACATACTTCTGACTCTTTCCTCGGGCCATTTTTCAAAACTTGCTTCCAAGCACAAAAATCAAAATAGCACTGACTGAAAAGATTTTCAATAATCAAATCTCACAGAACACAAAACACAAAATCAGTCGAAAAATGAAAAGTTCGAAACTCAAAAAAATATTTGGCGGCAACCGGTCACATGAGCATATTTCTCGCGAGGTCCGTATCGCCTCTCTCCAAGATCTCGACTCGATCCGGACGCGACAAACGCCCTACTTCGACCTAACCAGTTGCTCATGTGCGACAAGGACAAAACATACTCATTACGGAATGCTAAAGAGAGCTAACCATACGCATACCAAGACACGTTATTGAAAATTTTAATGCGCGTACTACGAGTATAAACGTAACTTTTCCAGTGAACTATGTAATTTTAATACTAGTGTAAATAGTGGTATCAGGTGTTTCAAAGTTGGCTCATTGAACGTATGTATGTGTTTACTTTAATTCATTAAAACGATCCAATTGGATACAACTAGCGCCATCTATCGGGAAATTAGCGTACTTTTTAACTGCTAAAGTTGAGACAAAGTTAACTTAGAGCTAACTAACGTTCTACTTGAAACTGGTAAATCGAACAGATGGCACTGCTCTACAAATTTTGGGAGTGTACCACAGACATATCTACATAGAAATATGTCTGTGGAGTGTACGTACATTTGAGAATTAAAAGAAAATTTTAAACGCGCGGAAAATGTACAATTAATAACTCTGTTTTTGGCTTTAACAGTACATTATTGCATTAGCATAATACTTTCTCAGTTCTAGCATATACAATTTTGATTACAAACGAAGTTTAATACAAACATTCGATTTCCAACGGTAATTAGTTATCGATTCTGTAAAGTAGCGCAGTTTTAGATTTATATCAAAAATCACAATTGCGTAAGTAAACATTTATGCATATGAATTTTATCGATTCTGAAGCAATTTACTCCAGTCGTTAGTCGTGATATTAATTCGTTTTGATCCTGATATCATTCGCAGACATCCCTGTGTTGTCCATTAGCTCCTTGGATACAGTCCAGTGAACAGAAACGATGTTATCTACCCTCACAGCGTATGTTTCCCTGGCCAAATTCAGATTTTATTTCATTTTAAATGCTTTTTAACATTTCATGTGCATGTGTTACAGCACACTCAGCCACAGGTTAAGCAATTTTGTATTGTTTATTTATTGAGAATTGGCTACAGAGCCATCAGCTTAGAAAGGTAACAAATAATTAAGAAAGTCAAAACGTAATGTGCTTTTTAAATATTAACTAAACATTAATTCGTGTTAAAATTGTAACTCTTGAAATAACTTAAATTACAGGCGCATGGGACTTGACAACGTATGTCCCAAGGGTGACGGGCGCTGTGGCAGTGCTCCTCAGATCTTTGCGATTTAAAACTCTGAGCGGCACTGCAACTGTTAAAAACAGGCGTGTCGCTTACCACCAGACTTGCGACTTGTTCGTCTTGTCACTTAGTATCATAAAAAGCTATAAAAACTGTCGTTTTTTAAAAATGTAAATGACTGAATGATGTAGACAGTTTTTAAATGTGGCCACACCAGATGCCAACCAACCAACCAACCATGTCTCTCCCATAACGAACGCCATGTCTCTCTTTACACAAGATTTAAAATCAACTCTAATCACTTACATTGTCAAAGGTCAAGTCCAAAAATTCAGCGTGCCATAGACTGTATTGTGCGAATTCTACTTGTAATATACCCAGAAAATATCCCATAGAATCAGCCATTTAACCAACCATTTTTAAATCTGATTTTATTTATTATTGATTAGTTTTGTTTTTTTTTCTAGTAGTACCTATCCTACGCAAAATGTTTTTGTCCTATTAGAGCTCGGAATTGTATATGTAGTGTGCCGTTCGCATAAAAAACACAAATACAACCACAAATTCGTCTGTAAATACCACAACATATGCAATTCCGAGCACTCGCTAATATTATTATACGAATTTCTAATATTTCAGAAAGCATAATGTAAAATCCCTTCTACAGAGTCAGTATAACAATCTGTCATAAACATAACAAGCTATCAGCGAAGGATGAGGTTATTTAACGGTCACATAATAAAGAAATTAATTAATCCTGCATTACACATAATCGTATAGTAGACTGACTCTTACATAATGTAACAACTCATATCCGTCTCACTGGTCAGTACGGAACTCGTCTAAGATGAGGGATTAAACAGGTACATTTCTCACACGATACGTAGAGTCGAAAATTACTCAGTGTTAGCAATGCAATAAAAACCTTTGTGAAACAGAATTTCGGCATATTAGTTTTCTAACATCCACAAATTCTCATAAAATATTAAAACACAGGTTTATATACTATGCGACACATGAACTATGAATATTATAAGTATTAAGTATGCTTCAGGTGAATGACTCTTCACTGCCCACGTAATTAATTTCCCATATGAATATTTCATATGCCTAGTGAAAGGTAATGTGAACGTAGTACCGGTAAATAAATAAAATACTACGTGTTATTGGTGCCTATTTACGATGACGCTACTCTGAATCGGTAATGGTAATAAATCATGGAATTCAATCGTGGAAAACTAACTATGTAGCGACTTTTTAGGCGCGGTGGTCACCGATGTGACCAAATGGTGTCATTAACTGCCATTGACAGCTTGCCGTCTGCCATTCACAAAATCTGTATCGAGTAATATCATTTAACGACAGCAATACGCGAAGTTCCATAGTAATAAAGGATATAGATACATAAACACAGACTGCATGAAATTAAATCAAGACGATAAAAAGGCTATCAGCTAATAAATTAAATAAAAGAATATGAAAAGGTGATTTGATTTTGATATGATACTTACAGTTTCATTTTCTTGGTGTCAGAGCCTGATATGGTAGCAGGAGGTGGCGGCAGGTCGTCCATGGGCACCTCCTCGTTGGGAGGTGAGGGCGGCGACTTATCGAACTCCGCTATCGGCGCCAGCTCCGGCATCGGTGACACCGAGTTGCTGTCCATCGCCGACAATTTTATCGGAGACACTTTGGCTATTTTGAAGACCTTCAACACCCCCGGAGCACCGGAGGAACGATCACTAGCAATGCCGGCACAGAACGCGAGCACTCAACACTCACAAGTTCCGCTTATTCGCAGTTACGTTATATTACGTTCACAATCAACTTATTCAATTACAGAGCCGTGGAACAGCGTTCGCGATACTGGTGAACTGTCACAATACAGTCCAACTTTCCCAGTAAGATGTCGATCAGTTTCGGGATCAGCTCCGAAACAACTTCAGAACCTGGAAGCAATTAAAGTATTATTTATTGTTGTACTTTCGGGAGCGCTCGTTCCATATCTCGCGTAAGTGCGACGTGCTGACATGTGCTTTCTTTACAGACTCCTTGAAAATCAAATATGAAATGTAAAATTTATACAACTAAAACAGTAATAAATGGAGTGAGTAAGATTTGTCATTATAAGGAAATATTTTGAACGGTGCTGGAGCGACCTAAATGGACTTTAAATTACAGTGTGCGCGGAAAGCACGGAAGGACGTCCTGCACCCTATATTATTATGAGAGGTTGACGGGCTGGTACGGAAGCGACTGACACGAGTCACGAGCCCTGCGCTCTTGTTTATACTGTAAACAAGCTGACTGACCACAACCCGACTGGTATTTTGGTAATAAAACTAAATCCGGTGATACAGACGCTACTTGCGACGTTTGCCGTACATTGCTAGCTAAGTTTCACAATCATTTCTAGGAGTTTCTAAACAACGATCCAATGTAGCTTTAACGATGCTCTTGAAAGACTGTTACGTACAACAGTTCATGTGATAGAATACAACTGGCGAGCCGAAAATAGATGAATGGTTATCCTCGCGCACATGTTTCATCGTCTAAATATGAAGTTAAGTTTTTACACACTCACAGCACTTAGTAGACGTAGAATTTTAGCTTTTATTCGACGACTGAGTCCCATATCTACATGAATTCTATCTTATTTGTTGATAAGGCATGTCTTGGTTTACTCTTATTGCGGAATAACAATGTATTGTGTATTTATTTTTAAACTAAAATCCCTATTCCACGAGCACTGTAATTTCATCAAACCTGCGCACGAGTGGCGTGACATCTAATTACAGCCCGATTACTAAAGCCAGGCCAGACCGATCATTGAGCAATATTCTGGGCGAAACGTAATGAAGCTTAAGCAATGAACTTTCCTCTACGTGGGAATATCACTACAATTCATGCTAGAAAAGACAAAGCTTACTAACATAGTTGGAATGACACTTACTTAAC